GTTCTACCTGGGTAATGACCATGATATTCGTGACGTGTATAATAATATGTTATTACAGATTACATGATCAGTCATATATTATGTTTGTCTTATATTACTTCGATTTATTTTTGATGTATAATACTTAATTAACTTTGCTTGGTAAAACGAGATTAACTTTACAACATTTCGATGTCTTAATGATGTCACAAATAGGTGCTCTCGGTGGGCTATTTTGACGTCACCATGATGCATAAAAAATGATCGAAAAATGATGTCATCTTGATGTTTTCATGACCATGAATATGTTCTACTTGGGGAGATTGTACGAAAGGTTTTTCGCTATATTGATCACTCGACGGTTGCCAGCAACTGAAATAAATTCGCCGTACAATTGAATTATGATAATCTCGGGCTGACTAACTGCTGCCACCGTTCTTTTCAGGTCGTGGTATCGATTGCAGTGCGCACAGCGGTAGATGCCAACTATCATCGATCTCTATCGAATTGGTTTTCCCCCTGAGATTCAACCCTTGACGAGCGCGTCGAGCTTTCGTCGAGCGGAGGAACGTTAGCGAGCGGATTAAAAGTGGCGGATCGACTAATTCGCGGTTTCGATTCGCCCCCCGCAATTCCGCCAGGCGGTTTCTAAAAGCTCACACGAGGCGTTGACGGAGGTCGATCGCGGAACTTGGACAGCTACATGTGGACGTGTCGAGCCACGGCGTACGTACAAGTACGTGTACGATTACGCGTTTCTGTCCTCGGGGGTAAAAATCAATAACACGGCCGCCGCGACATACGTGGTGCACGTACGATCCGCGCCGGGGGGGTCCGACGTTAATTTCCTTTACCGTGTGGACAGCCCGTGGCTCGCCGCGGCCGGGCGCCCCGTGCGTGCAGCCCCGTGACAGGCGCGTGTCCCGAGGGAATCGATCCCGGAGCGGGTAGTCCGTGATACAGTCGCGGGGCGAGAGAGAGGAGAGAACTGTTAAACGCACGCTCGACGACGACACCCACGGCACTCGTCTTCCGGCACGAACGGGAACGCACTGAGCCCGGAGTGTGTCGTGTGCGCTCGCGAATTCGGTCCGCGGTCCACTTTCGTCGCACGCGTCTCTCGAGCACTCGCCGCCGCCGTCGCCGCCGTCGCCGTTTGCGGACGGAAGGTCGATCGACCCGACCGGACCGACGGCCGACGGGACGCGCGAGACGTACCGAGCCGGGCCGCGAAGGAGGACTCGTTCCCGGCTCGCGACAAGTAGCGCCGCGTCGACAGCCCGGCGGGGATGCACGCGAGCACTCGAAAGCTTAATATGATATCGTGTCGCCAAACCCAATCGTTCCTTATTGGCTTCGAATAGCCGAGATAAACCCGGGCAACTCCAGATACGGCATCCGGAGTTGCGTCGACGTAGCTCCAGATACGTGGGGGGGGGGGGAAAAGTGATAGCAAAGTCGACAAAATGTACGTGAGAATGTTATGCGTAAAGATTAAAGGTATCGACGGTACTTGTTGCATCTTACAGATGACGAGGTATAGATTTTTAACACGTCTTTTATGCCGCAGCAGGTACTCGGAATGAAAGAGGCCCGACGTGGGACGAGAGCGAGGAGCATGACGGAGTAAGCGGAGCGCGCGGTCTCTCTGCTTTTCCCCGTCTCCGCGCTTTCGCGTGAATTGTATTTGGACACCACTGACGTCAGGCGGCACGCCGGCGAGAGCCCGCAGCTCTGTGAAATAAACGTGCCGCCGGATAACCTGCGATGCCGAGGGGATTCGACCGACCGGCGGAGAGCGGAGACGCGTCGCCGCTCGAGAGGGTGATCTGCCCGTCGCCGGAAGAGCTGAGCGTGATAAATAACAATGTCAGGTGCGAGCAGTGCGGGCTCGTCTTCAGGAACGAGCCGCGCTACCGGCTGCACGATCTCAAGGTGCACCAGCGCAGAAAGCTGGAGAAGATCGCCAAGGAGAACGCACGCTACCACTGCCCGGTGCAGTCGTGCGTCTACGCGGTTAATTCCCATCGATACTTCGGCACCATGAAGTATCTGAAGCAGGTGTGTGTGCGCGCGCCTCGCCGTCTCGTGCGATAGCTTAGCGACGAGGAAGAATCCAATCTCAAGGATATTAATAACGCCACGTTATCCTTCTAGCATTATTTAAAGGTACACGCGGAGAGGAGTCACGCGTGCGATCGTTGCGGCAAGAGTTTTTCCACCGAGTCCGCTAAAGAAGGTCACGCGAGAGTCTGCGGCGTGGCGTTCACGTGTTCCTGCTCAAAGACCTACGTTACGTACGAGGCGCTGCTCACGCACGCGAAACGATCTCTGCATCCTGTGACGAAGAAGTACAAAAACTCGAGGTTCCTTTACTCGTCGTACTATACACGTTCTTTTTTTTGTCGCCGTTATTACGATACTGAAATCGGATAGACAGTTCACTGGCGTATTTGTAATCTCTTTGTAGGCACGCCAGTCCCAAGGCAATGCGAGTCGTCTTATCAAGGGGAATTGCGAGCAGGCCCGTCACGATACTGCCGAGTCCAGATAAGTCTGGAAAGAGTAGCGAGGATACTAGCACCGCGACAAAAAGCACATCCGATGTCGGAGTGCAGACGGACGATTATAAGAGGAGTAAGAAGACGTCGAGTCCGTTGAAACCCAACAGTGGCAATCCGCATAGCGCGAAACGTCGAATATCCCAGGAAACGCAGACCAGTAATCTTTCCAAGGACAAAACCTTCGGGAAATCGATAGAGACGCAAACACCGCGAGCGAACTCGAGGGACTCGTCGAGGGTGCATAAACGCGGTGGAAGGTGTCGCACATTGTCGAAGCGCTCGGAGCAGACGTTGCTCAAGGAGGATCTTAATCTCGGCGACAATTTCGCGTCGGCCAGCTTATTCCCGGCTAGTCCGCTGCCACTTCGCCACGACGTGGGCCTGCAGGACTTCTGGGAGGACAAAAACACCTCGGGCACGCAAACGCTACCCGAAAAGGATATGTTCGAGGCGTTTAACGATAACGTGACTCAGACGGAATTCGAGACATTTTACAACCACAGCCCGAATCCATTGATACAGTGCGTACCGAAGAGTACAGTAGCTTTAATGACGTTGCCTTATGTCGAGGACACGTCGACCGCCGTTGAAGGATACGCTTTCGCTTCGACCGATGGGATATCCCGGGCCGATCCTATGCTGACCGCCAAGACATTCGATGACAGATTTAGCAGCATAGAGACGCAAACCGAGCAGGCCTTTTCCCCGTCGTACTTTTACTCCGAATCTCTCTCGAGATCGTTCGCCCTGAGTTCGAACATCGAAACGCAAACTACGGACAATCTGGACAACATGGAGCAACTGCTGTACAGCAATACGTACACTCAGACGTGCGACAAAATGCTGTCCTCCGATTTAGGGCTGTCCAACATACAGACTCAGACCGCTTGGTCGCACGACGACACTACCGTTTCTACCGAGACTCAGACAAAGTCCCTGATCTGCGGGGCCGATTGCAACATTCCCACTGGAGCCTGCAGATCCTGGCTAAATACGCAAACGAGTCACACCGAAACGCAAACCGACTTACTCAGCATTTTCGAGGGGCTCGAGTAAGTCAATCGCGTTCTTTTTTTCCACCGCGAGTTATGTTCGTCGCCTTCCCCGCGTTTTGTCAGTCTGGTTTTTACACACTTTTTACCCGTTCTGTGTTTTTTCCCCCCCATAATATATAGATACAAAACTATGTTCGAATATTCTTGAGGATCTTTTTATTGCACGCTTTGCATTCTTCATTTTTATGTCCATCTTTTATTCATCGTACAATAAGTTAAAAAAGTATTCGAAAGAGGAAAGTACCTGATTTTTGGAATCTTTCTTATTTCTACTGCCATTCGTCTTCCAACTTGAAACTTATCTTTACCTCAAGTGCCAAATAACAAAAAAAAAGTTGGCAAACCGAGCACCATAAACGTTATCCACCTGTAGTTGCGCATTTGTACACGCGTGTTTACGTATGTAGAAGTGTATGTATAAATATCTGATTTCTTTCAATACCAAAGTATTACGCATATCTCGCACACATTCGAGTATACTTGGCGTGTATCTACGTACGATAATGAAAAAATAAATACAACGGCAATATGTACATGTATTGCGATCTGAACTTATCGTGTAAATTTATGGACTGGAATCGGACTACAAATGTACATCTGTTTTGTATCTCTAGAGCCTCGTGTGTACATGTGGCGTACGCAGCGTAAGAGTTTCGGTATCTTGTCAAAAATATATATTCCAGCTTTACATCACGTGCTGGCGCCGCGCGATGCATGCGGGCGAACACGTTTGATGTCTTGTCGGCCTTGCTGATAATATCGCGTGAGATTCCGTTCCTTCGTCAAATCTGCATCTTCTCACTGGTGTACAATATACAACTAAGAAAATATATTTCTTCTAATCGAGGAAAGTCACGATAACGGTATTAGTCGGAAATGTATCTGCAGCTTCGCGTCGTCACAGATTCGACCGAATAAGTTTTACAAATTGTCACAGATACAAAAATATAACGAGCATTTCATAAATAATATGTATTTATACATTCAGATCGAGGCGATCTTGCGTTGGGGCGTTTTATCTGAGCCAGCAGGGGGGGGGGAAGGGAAGGGAATTAAAAATTCAGCGACCAATGTAGATAACAAGAAACGATTGGATAATGGATTCTCATTGCGTTCAATGTATCAATACATTGCGTAGCAATGCATTAGCATCGATCAACTCGTCGTCAGTGGCTGCGCAGTGAAATTACAGGGTGGGGTACACGATGAAGTGATAAAAAGGGAGATAGTGTGAAAATACGAATATATATATATGTATATATAATATGTAGAGAGAGAAAGAGAGAGAAAATTCTATTATACTGCTGGACCAGCGGCATTGTCTTCATCGGAATCAGGTAAAAAGTCTTTGGTCCAGTCCTCTATCCTGTCCACGTTCTCGAGGGTCGATGCGAGTACTCTCAGATTGTCGACGCCGGACATCAATTGTCTGCAAAAGAATATCCCGAGTGTCGATTAGACTTGGACAAAGTCGCCGGATCGCGCAAACGGAATTCCATAAAAAAAATGATAAATTATTTCGAATAGACTCGACAGTCAAATGATCGTTAAGGACACCTGAGGGACACTTCAGCCGACGATGCGGCCGCAAATAAATCACGCGCGAGCCTTCTGACCGTGCGATTCGTGTTAACAGCACCAGCGTTCGTTTCACCTTGCCCAGCCGTCGAGACGTTGGCTCGAAGTTCACTGTTTTCCAGTCGCAGCAGAGATATCTCTGTCTAAATTAACAGATTCGCAGGCCGGTACGTTAGTTTAACATTTTGCTCCATTACAATTGGCCGTGCACAAAGCATACTGACCGTCAAGACCTCGATTTGCTTCTTCAACAACGTAACGGTGCTCTCGGCGTTAACTGCTCGCTTCTACGAAATACAAGCGGCATGTAATCGATACGCGGGAGTCGCGATTTACAATTCGGAATGCTTTATATATTGTACTCACTGTACTTCGTTTCAAGTTATCTTCGACCTGCTCCATCGCTTTTTCCAGATGCACAGCTTCTTCGTGCTCGACCTCCTTCTTGGACAACAGTTCTGTCTCCAGTGAACGGATTCTGCAATCAACGCGTCGATGCTACAAACCGAAATCTACTCGCCGCGAGGTGCAATTACCTTTCCATTTTTTCGCCAAGCTGTCTTCGAGATACCTCCAGCTGCTGACGCAATCTCTCGTTCTCGAGCAAGAGCTGCAACACAGTCTCAAATTCTATCCTTCTCCGTTCCATCTTATCCGCTACATTTCTGCGTTACGCGGCAGCCTTACCCTTCTCTCCGTGGACTCCGTCATGCCCGCGGTAGGTTCCGAGTCTGTAGATCTATTGTGTATAGGGCCGTCGCTTAAAAAGTCCGGCAGAGATTTATGGACGCTCGCCTCACCTGCCGGCTGTAGATCGTCTCGTGTGCTCGCGTTCGCACTGGGATTCGAGTCGGGGAAGAGCAGCGGTAAGTCGAATGGAAATCCTGCGAAGAAAGCGCCGGTTGTTTTGACAAATTTCACAGAAGCCTAATTGCGCGAGACGTGAATACGCACCTCTGTGCTCAGGGCGAGGCAGGGCGGGCGCAGTTTCGTTGAGCCTGTCCTCGAACGTAGGCAGGTCCAGGTGATTCGGGTGCATCGCGTTCGGCGCGGAGTGCTCTCGGTGCGGCAGGCCTTTGTGCAGCGTACCGGTGAGATCGAACGACCGTAGATCGTCGCACGCGGCGTCGGTGTCCTTCTTCTTGGTCTCGCCGCGCAGCCGTGACTGCCTCTGCTCCACACTGTTCAACGCGAAGTCCGGCAGGTTGTCCACGTCGGGCAGCACCGGCTGGCTGCTGTCTTGATTCAAGTAGCACTGCTCGATGACCAGGTGGTCCTGCACAAAGTCCGGCAGCTCCGTCGGGTTTCGGCCGGGGTAAACGCCGCCGCCGGGGTTGTCCGTGTCGAGGATACCGCCGGGACTTGACGCGGCGGACGAGTAGACCTTGGGCCGCGCCCCGGTGTTGTGATAGCTCGTCTGCTGCGTGCCGTTCCTCAGGAAGGCCTTGAAACTGAAGTGGTTGCTGTCGCGACGCGACGGCGCGTCCGGACCTGCGGGAAAAATCAGGTATTCAGCTGCCGAACGGCGCGGAATGACGGCGGGGATCCTAACCTGTCGGCTGCTGGTCGACGGGGTCGGCGCGACTCCTGCCGAAGTGGTCCGACATCGGCGACGAATTGTTCCTGGGCTGCGCGTCCCGGCAACGGGCGGGGGTCGTCTTCCCCTCGTCGGACGACGGCGACGACGCCGCCGACCGGACGACGGCCTCGTTCCCCGACGGCGACGGTAGGGCAGCCGTCCTCTCCCGCACCCCCTCCTCCTCGTCGTCGGACGAGGACCACAAGTGGCGCGGTTTCGGCAACGGCAACCCACGGCACACGTCGTCGATCATCTTACGGCCCGCCATAATTCGCGTCGACCGCTACGACCGCGTCATTCGCGGCGCCCGATCCTCTCGCCGAGGGGAGTGCGTGCGTGCCCGCTGGCTCCGCTCCGCTCCGCTCCGCTCGACGCGCTCGACGCCTGTCACCGTCCCCGTCCGCCTGCTCCTGCTGATCGCGTCAGGTTAGGTGAGGTTAGGTTAGGTTAGGTTAAGTTGGCTCCGCTCCCCTCGTCCATCTCTACCTGCGCTCCGTCGCACTTTCTACGCTTCAAACGGACGCCACACGCACGGCGATGTGTCGAAATGGTCAAACGAGAAGACGCCAGGCGTAGAACGACGTGGGCCAGTTCTCTCTCCTCGCTCCCTTTCCTTCTTTCGTCAGTGATCGCGCGCGGTTCTCTTTCGGCTGCCGGTGTGCCGCGTGCCGCGACGCAGCTCTCCCTCCCTCTCTCTCGCTTGAACGGTTGACGTTTCGTGTCGTTTAAAATTGACGTTGAGACGACGCTTTATTGACAGCCCGTCGACACTCGACGCGGAATCGCGATCTGTATTGCCTGGAAGGATGGTGGGTATACAATTCTTTAGTCTCAATCCGTTAAGAATCCGTTTGCCTGCGCAAATAGGCGCCTGAAAACGTGCGAGATGTTGCGTGCACGTACTTGCTCCTCGTTGCAGTCTCGTGTCTAC